ATATATATATATATATGTATATATAACAAGTTATTTTTAACTTGGTTCCCCGATTACTTTCATTACTACAAACGGTAATAGCAGTAACTTTCTCTACCTTGTAAAGGAATGAACATTAGCAGAGCAGCGACACCGATGATAGACGCTACTCCGATGTCGATTACGTAGTACATTACGTACGTGAGGATAATGGTCTCCAAAGGTCCGAACCAGAGAGAATGGAGAAATATGAGATAGACCTCGAATCTGTTGATGTCATTAGATAGCAAATTGACTATCTGGCCGATTGTCGTCTCGCTCAACGCGGTTCTGGTCATCTTCAATGTTTTGCGGTAAATCAGTGAATAGCAGGCGACGCGAATCTTCAAGCTCATGTGCGTAATACCCATCAAAGTCAAATGGGTAACGAACACATTAAAAGCGGAGCAGAGAATGATGCCGACGGCGTAGCTGTACGCGTGCAACTTGTCGACGTCCATAGAGTTAAAGTAGTGCAACATTTGGCCTACCAATAACGGTTGCAACACCCCCCTGTAAAAATTAAAAGTTTCTGGAAGCGCCAAAAAAGTGCAAACAAAAAGATTTAACGTTTCTCAGAAATTTCATTGATTTCTATTGACTCATTGCAATTTTGAATATCCATATACAGTCCCCGAATACTTCATAAAACATGCATGGAACATTTCTGTTATGTTTTCCACACTTCTCAATAAAATTATTTTCATTAATGTTTTTCCTAAACACTTCACAAAAATCCATACAGCACAGAAGCTTGCAGCAATATTGCCGCAACGTTTGCAATGTTATATAGCAGAGGCGTGCAATATTGTTGAAATAATTTGTGTTTTGTAGCTCATTATAATTGTCAATGACACCGTCCAGTGTAGAAAATGACAAAAATTGGGATAAAAATTCACAAGGAAATTTACAGCGTTGGCAAACGTTACTTTTCAATTACTTTGTCATTATTTTCTATAGTAAACAATTTGACAATGTTGCAATTTTTTATGACGGTAATTAACTGAACGCTAAGGTTGTGCTAAGGTTAAAAAAGTCACTTTGAAAAGTAATTTGTCATTATTACGTGTTACTTATTAAAAAAAGTAATAAGTGTCGAATAATGCATAACATTACTTTGTTGATTGTTATCTTGTTATTATAACGATTTGATGACATTGTGAATTTTTTATGATGGTAATGGTAACATCAGAATTAGAAAAATCAATCGTTACTTGTAACGAGTTGAAAAAGTCATTCGTTATTGAAAAAAAAAGTTACGCGTTACTCGTTACAAGTAAAGCGAGGAAAAAAGTAATACGTTACAAGTTAATGGAAAAAGAAATTTCTTTTTTTTTTTTTCAATAACGACCATTACTGTCATAAAAAATTTACAATGTCATTATCAAATTGTTATTATAACAAGGTAATAATGAACAAACGGCGTTACAAGTAAGGCGTTACTGCCAATCCTGGAAATTTATAGATAAGAAATGAGGGCCTACCTGATCGCGATCTCCGCAAAAGTCGCACAAATCCCATACAGTATAATCTTGAGGCCAAAACATTTTATAAGAACTTTCATCAGACTGGGCTCCTTGATCTTCTTCTGTGATCCGCTCTTCGCGACCTGCTTCAGTCGACACTGGTATGCCTCGCATTCCTTCTCCCAGGCCTTTGCCAATTTGTCACCAAGAACATCACTTGTATGCTCCTTAAGAGGTGTGTACAAATCAGTTACTTCAAGATCTCGGTGGTAACCCACCCAGAAAGTACGTAAGATCCAACTGCGGAAAAGAAAAGCAAAACATTTTACTCGCACGAAGCATTTACAATTCGCGTCCAATTCTTGATTTATGCTTGTTTCGCTGAGATATTAATTTTCCAAGATACTTTAAGTAATATCTCGCATAAATGAGTAATATCTTGCATTCCTCAAACTGAATCGATCCAAGATAATCCTGATCAAAGTTAATTTGAAATCAATTATTTCTAAATTGTTATTCATTAAAATCTATATTATTATGCATTAAGATAAATTATTTGCTGTAAGATATTATTTATTAAAATTTACTATCAATTAATTTATATATTATTTACAGATTCATATCTGATAATTCATAATTCGGGCCCGCCTAACTCGCTTATCATCATCCGAAATTTAATTTACTAATATATGTAATACAATTGAATCAAAATGTATCTTTATTTATTTATTTTTTATCTGCTATTTATTATGACGATTGTTATGAAAAATAATTACTGTATAAAAGTGTATTGTAATCGAAGCGCAAAATAATCCCTTTAATCAAACATTTTATACATCCACGGTATAAAGATTTAATATTATCGAATAAAATATACACTGTTCAAAGTATAAAATCGGATAGATCGACAAAAATGTAAAATGTTTGTACTTACGAGAACGTCAAGACGCTGAAGATGTTGGCATCCGCTCTGGGATTCTTCATTTTCTCAGTGTACACTTTTCCATCCATGACGGCGTTGTCTCACAGGAATCTTTCTCGTCTGCAAAGGTATAATTAAACTTTAATACTTACGTACACACGCTGCGATTACATTTAACAACGCATTATCGGAGAAAATCTGTATCTAGATGACAAAAGACAATTATATATACTTCTAAGTGTTCTTGGCGTATGAAATTGCGAAGTGTGTAGGTTTCGCGTAATAAGTACAAACACTTAAGTATAATGCATCCATTACATGATTTAAATCAATATGATTTAATTCTCTCTTTCTAAATTAGTTTTGAAATAATTGACGCATAACTGATAACAATTTCCTAATAACAATGTGAATAACGATTTTATTCTTTATTTCAAGTACCAATTTTTTCTTAAGTGTTGCATCATTATTGTGATAATTTTTGGTTTTCATGAAGAAAAAGACAAAAAAAGGTAGAAATAAAACATAATCCTAAACGGCCAAAAAAATAAAAGCTAGCCTTCTTTTAAAAAAATTATTTTATGTCGATATGTCAATATTATTACGTAAACAGTTCTTTTATTTAAACAATTAAATATTCTAGATGTTGAATTCATTTATTTTAGTCTTTATCAGCTGTACGATATCTCGTACACATATAAATTTTTATCGTTTGTTTTTAATTTTAATTTTTGTAAATTATCAATCAAGAATAAATGCAATGACTAATAATTACTATAATAAGTGCTTAAAACGTGTTTCATAGTTAATTAGTTTAATAAAAAGTTATTTACATATTAGTTTTTATTGATCGTTTGTTTCTAATCTCTTGTGTCTACAAATAAATATTTTCTTTAAAAAGAAGTTAAACCATACTCACTCATATAATAAATATACGGATATAAAACTACTCTCACAATATTATAAGTAAGAAGAAAAAAAATTTATTATTGTTATACTTATGTTGAACACAGTAATGGAAAAATTATGTAAATTTTTTTAACACATTTTGGAGTATAAGACGATCCACGATATCTATACTTTTTAAACGCTTCCTATTTCGAAGTTTTTGTATGACTGACCTCATACTTTATACCACAAGCAAATTTTAAGACTCCTGAGTAACCACTACAGCCATATTGAATAGTGACGTCAAAGGCGAGAAATGACATGTTAATTTTTGTTACTTACCGTGTGTAAACAAAAACAATTTGGATAAAACAAAATGATGAGATCGTTTTAAAACATTTGTAAAAATGGCCGAACGATTATCCTCTTTAATAGTCAGCCTTAATGGTACTTTTTGCACTTTTTCTGGCGCCAATAATAAACTTTCAAAATTATAGATAACAATAAAATTATAGTTAATGACATGAACTTTGTCACGGAAAAAGTATCGGATATGTCATATCTATAGAAATATGGTATAAACAAACTGTCGTTATTTATTGTCATTTTGACATTAAAATGACATTAAAACGAGCTGTCGTTATTTATCGTCATTTTAATGTCAAAATGACGATAAATAACGACAGCTTGTTTATTGGGAAAATAATAATATAATAAACAGTAACAATATAATTTTTTGATAAATTACAAATTTATCTTATTCATTACGTTTGTTTAATAGCATCAACGAATTCACACCAAATATTACATACAACATGCACGTAGTATTATGACATTATATATACAATTTAATGTCTAAAAGCGTTACGTGCGCGTTTAAGTGTCGCTTAACTATAATCTATATTTAGCTAGTTTTAAACCTATCAAGCGATGCAGCATTACAACACAAGAACATAAAATGAAACATACAGTAGAAACAAAATGGACCATGGGACCATCATTGTAAATGTCGTGCTCCTATCAAGTTTGCAGCATTATCAATAGCTTTATCCGGAATTCTTGTTAATAAATTTTTGTGGCAACAAATTTGTCGATACAAACTTTCAATTGCAGCTAGTTCGAATAAAACTGATACTATCATTAGTGATATCTCGAAATTGAATCTATCAGTGTATTACTTTTCAAAACTTTCTGACTTGTCAATCACACGTATGCTTGCATTTGTCCGTTTTTACTTTTCTGCAATAATGGACATTTTTTTGTAAAGAAGATTAAAGATATATCTTGAAATTTTAATCAGAATTAAATTATAATCCTGAATGCATCGTCCGTTCTCTATAAAGTACATTTTTTTAAATATTTTTTAACTGTGTTAAAAAACTTTTCGACTGTGTTATATAAAGTTTAAATACGGTTTTTCTAATATAACAAATTTTCCACTTATGACCATAAATTCAAACGTATTTCTATATTATTCTATATTATTATAATTTCTAATTTGTTATCGATACACAAATACATAATTTTTGATTGAAAAAAAATTTTTTTAAGTTTATTTTATTAAGTACCCGAGATGGGTTCAAATATTGTACTTGCAATCTTAACCCATCAAGCTGGGGCCAGTCGTGTTCTGTGAATATTTCGTGTCACCGTATCTATTCAACTATTATTAATAAACGTTAATGTGGCGTCATATTCCCGTAATAACGAAATTTTCTTAAATAGCGGTATTGACGTATGCAGCATGTATTTTATCAGCGTGACGCGCAAAATTTCACACGGACATGAGTGACTTCACGAGTGAGAGTTAAGGGTTCAAAAATTAGTTATTCTTCGATTTTGTTCCATATTTGATATATTCATTTACTAAGTGTCACAGTGTTAGTTACGATAACCGTAGGCCTTACAAGGATTAACTGGTAGTAATAGCTTGTAGTTTCTGCAAAAAAACCATGTTTCTATAAGTAGAGAGATAGTAATAAGTTAGAGAGAGAGAGAGAGAGAGAGAGAAACATATGTTTCTTTCTCTCAAAGTATTTGGAAATGTACATTGCGCATGTCAGTTAAATGTGCATTAACGATACATCAAAATTAAAAATAACAAAAGGTCTGTTTGCGTTGCTTGAAATCCCCCAAAAATTTTGCACTTAAAATAAAATAAATATATATTCGGTCATTGATCGAAAAGAGAAGAAGCGATAATTCATAAAATAAGCACTGGTAGTTAGAACTGATTTTAGACGGTAAGCATGAAAAGCGCGACGCATCGAGGCGCCTTGGGACTCAGCGCCAAAAACATGCCAATTCCTGAAGCAGGAATATCAGCAGAGCTAAAGGCGAGTGCAGTATTAGTTTGACGAAGAAAATATTATAATAAGATAGAATATATAATAAAATAAAAATTAAGTATATACATTGAATAAGTTACAATCATAAATACACAGTTATATAAAGATAAATACTAAATTTAAATAAGTTTAATGAACAAATATATTATAATTAGACAGGATGTATCTAATACAGAAAATAAAATATAATAAATTAAAACAAAATGAACAAAAATAAAATAATAAATCAGCTGACCGATCGAGGGAAGCTGCGGACCAAAGTAATCAGAGATGAGAATCAAAGGCAGAATATCGAGTTCAAAGCTTACGAAGAGGCTTCACAAGAAACATATTTCAAATTTCATCGAATGAACTGCAGCGAACACAGCGTATAAATTGCAACAAAGCTATCCACGCAGACAGCAGACACAGTCGAAGTATCGATACGTTAAGTCTGCCACAGCACGTATCACATGTTAATAAAAACACACGTGGCAAGCGATATATAGAAGAAAATTAATTAAAAGATAAAAGTATCAAGAACAGCGCACTGTAGCGATGGAAAGACTAATAAACTCGTCCGACGATTGCCAATCTCGACGACTGCCAACTCGTTTATTGATACTCGCATAAGAAGACATATTTGTGTGTTATGTTCTTAAAATGTTTTATTTTTTCTCTTCATGTTATAAATATATAGATTATGTTTATCAAATTTTATAATCACAAATATTACACAAAATTTTAATTTTAATTTATGTTTTAATAACATAAAATATATTATATATATTATTGTGTTACAAAAAATGACATATCTTAAAACTAGTAATCTTTAAACTTATAATCTTTCATCTTTTACAGCTTTCTTGGCTGTTTATGCTGAATAAATTCTATTCGATTCTAATGTTAGAACTTTTAAAATTTTTAATTGAGACGATGTTTTAAATACAGTAATGAATATCCAGTGAGCATGAAATATTTGAAAACATTTCGGCAACATTGTAACGTTGTTGCAATGTTACTAAAATATTTCCAAAATGTTTCTTAATGGGTATGCAATTATATGTCTTTTTTAAAATAACATCACGTTTTTAAAATTCAAACACTGTAATTTTAATAGTATAATAATTTCTGACTTGCGTCATATTTTTTTATCACCATGGCGGTAAATATATACAAGAAATTGCTTCCTAGAAGTGTTTATATTGTTTATGGTAGCTCGCTGACGATAAGATATACTGGTGACCCAACAGTTTCAATTTTATTCTTCCTGATGAAATATTTCGAGCTGATACTAAAATGACATAGTAATACTGTAATTACAGTTGGGTTGCAATCTACGCGATCTTTACTGATTGCTTGCTGCATAAAGCTGCGTATACACCTAGCAAACGAACACCGAACGCGAATGTTCGAACATTCGTATTTGTAAGCAATTTATTTTTTTTCTTGATTCTACCGAATACTTTCATTCGATCAGATTTTATGTCCGTTGCACATAACAATTAAACTTACGACTTTTATGTAATAAATAACAACACAAACTTTGCGTTTGCTGTTCAATCAGTCGTTCGCTAGGTGTATACACGGCTTAATTGAAATACATTGGCGATAATCGCACTTTACGTTGAAGCGACAAAGAATTCGTTTATAATCAAAGGAACAGCTAGATAGAACTCGTAGCAAACCGATTAATCTATTCTCGGACTGAATTTCATCTGCATTGCACTCTTTCTCTTATTTTTTAAATTTCAAAAATTCATCTAAGAACTACTGGTAAAAAATCGACGGAATGGCCTATCACTGATGTTTGTCCCATGCAATTGTGAAAAGTTAACACAGTGGATGCATCAAAACACGATTCTGGTAGCAGTTGCGGGCAACGCCGGCCAGAGCCTCCGCCATCGCCGTGCCGGTTTCCTGCACCATGCTCTTCAGGTAGCCCGACTCCTTCTGCAGCAGCACGTGGGGATGATCGAATTCCTGCACACGATAGAAGTTCAACTTTGAAGAGAAAACTTGCAATTTACGATGCATTCTCGTGTACAAAAAATACCTAGATCTACCTTTTACTTGATATGTGCAACGTATAAACATTTACGTAATATAATGAAAATAATTATTTCTACTGATGAATTACATCGCAGAATAAAAAAAATGGGTACTATCAGCACTTTCATATTAAAAATTATGAGCATTATGTAAACATATTTTGCAATCCTCCAACAGTTAAATAACGTATTCAAACAAATTTATTTTAATAAAACAGTCTCTAAATTTTTGAAGTAAAATTTCACTTTAAAAGAGTGAAAATCTATTATTTTATTCGAAAGTGCAAATTTTTTACTCTTTTTCAATAGTGGCAGTATTTTAATTCTTTTGGAGTAGGATATTTTACTTCAAGAAAGAGCACGAAAATGATTAAGGAAAAATTTGAAGAACTCATAAAATAGACGTACGAATTTATATGCCTTTAAAAATTAAAAATAAATATAATAATTTAGAAAAAGAAATTAAAAAATGTATAACAAAAATGATCGATAAATTACGATCATAGTTGCATTGATTTATCATAATCATAAAGAAAAGAAAAATTTCGTAATCTACTTAAAATCAACCTACTTAGATTCAATGGTTTACGACAGTTTACGTTATCGAAAAAATACACGAAAAAATAAAATTATAAAAAAGAATTGACTCACCACCGCGTTACCAGCGTCCATCACTAGAATGCGATCGCTGTCCATGACGGTGTTGAGTCGATGAGCGATCGTCAGCACCGTACACTTCTCGAACTTCCTCCTAATCGTCGTCTGAATGAGCTCGTCCGTTCGCGGGTCCACATTCGCGGTCGCCTCGTCTAGCACAAGTATCGGATTATTCTTCACAATGGCTCGCGCCAAGCAGACCAACTGCCTCTGGCCGACGCTAAGATTGGAGCCGCCATCATTGATATGGGCCTCCAGGCCTATCTCCTTCAGCTCGACCTCCTCTAGCGCCCGCCACAGCAGTTCATCCGCATACAAGTCGAACGGATCGAGGTTTCGCCTTAGGCTGCCAGAAAACAGAAACGGTTCCTGCGGAATAATGCTGATCTTGGAGCGCAGATCGTGCAGGCCTATCTGGCTTGTATCGACTTCATCGATCTCGATCAGACCATCCACATCGGCCAGGCGGAAGAGAGCCTGAATCAGGGATGACTTGCCGGCACCGGTTCTGCCGACGATGCCGATTTTCTCCCGCGGAAAGATAACGAAGCTGAGGTTCTTGAGCACTGCCGGCTCTAAAGGCGCATAGCGCAGGGACACGTTCTTGAACTTGATCTTACCTTCTTGTGGCCAATCGCACTTGGGCTTTTTATCGGGAACACTTTCGAGAGGCGGCTCGCTGTCCACTTTGCTGGAAAAAGGTCGAAGCAGAAAATATAAATTAAACGTTATTTTAATAATCTAAAGAAATCAGACTGCTTTAGAAATATCTGCAATTTGTCATAAAACTTACAAATGTGTTCATCTAGATAGACGAAAAATATTGATAATAAAACAGTTATGAAACTCGGATAGTTAAAATATTCAAAAAAGTTAAATTAGGGATTAGAAAATTTACAAATTCAACGCTATAAGATCTCAAGATTTGAAGAAATTTACGAAATTTAGAAATTTAAGAATTTGTAATAGTCAGTAATGTTTGAATAATATTTGAGTATGAGATTCATAATATAAGTAGATCACTAAATCAATAGATAATTAAATCCTGAGTTTACTTAAAAAAAATTTTAATACACCATTGAAAATTGTAATTGAAGTAGTATAAAATAAGTGGTAGAGCTTATATTTCAATAAAGTAAGACAATCGATAAAGATAATTGATACATAATTAATACAAACAGAATATGAAGATATACAAAGGATAAGCGAGTACTTGTATTCAAGGATACGCTCCACCGAGGCCATCTGGTTCTCCACCTCGGTGCTCTGGCGCATGCACCAGTGCAATCTCCCAGTAAGATTGATACTCTGCGTGATTGCTAGGCCTACGTATCCGCCATACATAAAGCCATTGTCCATCACGAGGAAGCTCAGCGTGACCAGCGTGATATATAGCATGCAAAAAGCGTCCACCCAGAAGGCAAAGGCGCGGGAGGATGCGATGGAGATGTACCACGCGGACGAATGGATATCCTGATAATTATCGAACTCCTTCGTGAGAGTCGCTTCCATTCCAAACGCACGGATCGTCGGTAGTCCCCGAAGAGTCGCGCTCAGGTGAGCGAAGATCGGCGAGCGGGCTAAAGAAAGTTCGAAATTCCACTCACTTTCACCGAAGAATTGGCATCCGTCGTCAATTCAAGTCTCTTCATTTCAAGAGACTTGACTTCAATCTGCGATCGGATCTATCTTATTCTATCGAGGAAGCTGTCTCTATTCTAGAAAGACAAGCTGAAAATACTTACTGATGCTTTCGAGACGCTTAACGCTATAACTAGTGGCCAGATAAAAGATTCTCAGGTAATAAAAGACAATGCTGACAATCACCGTAGGTATCAGCAGCCACACGTTTGCGATAGCGATCACGATGATGGCGGTTACCAGCGACATACCGATCTGGATAGAATCAATAAACGCGATGGGCAGCATCTCGTCTACCGCGCCCATGTCCTTGGAGAAGCGATTGAGTACACGTCCCGACGTGTTGGTATTGAAGAATCGCATAGTTGCGCGACTAATGCTGCGAAACATGCGATCGTGCAAGCGCATTGAGGCCCGCAAGCACATCCACAAGAAAGCCCATGAGCGGATAAGGGTGATGCCGATTGTCAGCACGATTAGGCCACTGTAGATATAGATGTACTCCATGCGAGTAAGGGAACTTCTTGGGGGAACGTCTTCAACAATGCCATCTACCGTTTGATTCATCTAGAAATTGTATACGTAATTAATAATATATGTTTAATGTAGAAAAAAATATAATTGTCGTTGCAAGCTTTTATTTTCAATTTTAATTCGACATGAATCGAATTTATGTTGCTCTGCAATCTTTCTACAGAAACATCTTTCTTCTTATACGTTTTTTGAAAACATTATTATCTTCGGTTTCGCGTCGTGTTTTAATTTTAAAGCGCCGAAATTTTGATTTAGTAATAAGCTAATTTAATGGAACTAAGTTATTAAAATTATTAACTTTATTCTTTATAACAATACCAATAATTCTCTTAAATTCTCTTTATTTAAATAAAAATTGACACAAACTTCAAAATTTTGAAGAAAGCTGGAATTAAAAGTGACGTAATAAATTAATATTAACTATATTATTATTTTAATATAATAATTGATATTAATTAAGTACAATATATTATTTGCTTCATCTACTAAAAAGTATTTGAAACCTAACGTAAAAAATATTACTAAAGTATTCTCTGTAAAATTTTAGACTTCCCGAATCTTTTGCAAAAGCGCGATTACACCCTCAATTCGTCGATTACTTTAACAACACTTAGTGTCTAGTGATACACTTACATGGTGTCTTTCTTTATTAACCCAATTCGCAAGAAAGAAATCGCTGCCGCTAGCCGCTAATTGTGTCGCTATGCTAAGCATGGCTACTATGAATATAATGCACCAGTTGCCACCAGCACGGAGATAACCAGTGAATACTTTGCCGGAAACATTGCCTACCGTTTGCATCTCAGTCACCTGAAATTAATGATTAACATAATCAACTGTTAATATAATTTATAGTTAACATCTAAAATTATTCCAAGCTAAAAAAATATCACGGTTTCAAGACATGCGTTTTTTTTCAAATTATATAAAACTCGTTATTTAATTATATTAATTATTATATCTATATTAATAATTTTAAAATTTTAGAACTAATATTTTCCCATAATTTAAGATGTTTCTAATTAAATCAATGTGTGCGGAAAGGGAATAAATCACATTTATCAAATTTTTCGATTTCAATAAAACACTGTTTAATTTTAGTGGAAAAACTAACAGAATTAAACTATTTTGAATATGACATTTAAATATGACATTTAATAATACTTTTTAAACATTGCTGAATTATTTTTGAATCATGTCTATTAAATAAAAGAACTTGACTTTCAAATTTGAACTTGATAAGCTTTTTTTGCACTCAACGTTGATAATAAGAAAACAAAAAAATTGGTATATTATTGAGATACGTTAGTTTATCTTAAACTATGTTAAACAATTATTTCTCTTTATGTTAAATAATTGTGATAATTTACAAAAAAAAACACTTTAAAAACACTGACTATTAAAATATTTCTTTCTATTGTTCTTCAAACTTAATTATTGACCATTCAAAAATCTCATTAAAAAATATTCTTCAATATTCTAAGAGGATTCCGGTTTTCTCAAAGGAGACGAGTATTGAGCCTTCTGTACTTATTGTATATCTTCAATGTTTACTTTAAGCCCTTAGAGAAGTCTGGAAAGATGTTCTATTTACACTAAAGGCATATCTATATATCTATTTCAAGGTTAAAAAGAAAAAAATTTATTTTTAAATTAAATTAGACTCGTCCTTCTTTTATACTCAATTTAATTATTCTAAATAATAATATTAATTAAACAAGATGCATATTAACAGTTAGAAAATAATTTATAAAATAAATCCCTAAATTTTTTTACCTCATCAGGATCCTGTTTCGAAGTATTATTCGTCATTAAGGAACTCAGCGACGTGATACTGGCGATAAGCGAATTTTTACGGCTAACAGGAGGCGAGGAGAGAACAGACGATTTCTCATCCGCTTCCACTCGATTTTTTAACAGTCGACCAAAATCCACTCCCATAGAACTTAGCTCGTCGTAAGTGCTGATAAACATATAATTTCATATAAAGTAATAGAAGCAACGCTTGCAAGCGAATCAACATTGATATTTGTATATTTTTTCTGCGAAAAGACAGTGATACTATCATGTTAATAGGTAATTAACCTACGCAAATAACAAGGTGAATTGAAAAGATAGAAAGTGCAGTAGAATCACCCTTCAGCCTGGATAGCTCCGTCCTTCAAAACGATAATTCTACCGACGTTGCGTAGGTATTGCAACTGATGAGTGACGAGAATTCGAGTCTTGCCTCGTAAATATTTATCGATGCATTTTTCAAATATATGCTTGCCCACATGGGCGTCCACGGCGCTTAAAGGATCGTCCATGAGATATATGTCGGCATCGGCATAAACGGCTCTCGCCAAGTTTATTCTGTCAATTATATACACACATACATATATATTTAAAAAATTGTATTTAATTTTTTATGATTCTTAACAATCTTATCATATAGGTAAAAAGAATTAAAAGAGAGTTTCTGAGATTATAAATAAAAATTAAAAAATTTAATAAATTCAGCATGTTTTGTTTTATTAGGATATTTTATGAAACCAACCTTGCACGCTGGCCACCGGAAAGACTGACACCCCTCTCTCCTACAATCGTCTTATCACCGTAAGGCAGCAGGCTGAAATCTCTCTTTAACTGACACACTTTAGTCACGCGATCGTATCGAATCTGATCCATCGTTTTTCCGAATAGAATATTTTGTCTGACCGAATCAGCGAAAAGCCACGGTTCTTGACTAGCGTAGGCAATCCTGCCGTTGACCTATGAAAAAATATTTAAAAGAACAATAGTGTATTTTAATTAGCTGTGTAAATTAATTATGTAAATTATATAAATTATGTAAATATTTTAATTTTAATTAGAAATATATATAAATTTTGAAATAAATTGATTAAATAATTTATTTTTATGGACAAAATAGTTTATTTAATATACAAATAAACAATTGAAACACATAAATTTTAATTTGATATATGTATAAATATTTAAATTTGTTTAATATTTAATTAACATTAACTAAAGAGAAATCGTCCACATACTTGAATGGAGCCTTCTTGCAAACGCAATTCTTTGAGGATGACGTTCAACAGACTGCTCTTTCCCGCGCCGACCTGGCCGACAACAGCGATCAGTTCACCGGGACGCACCTTCATGTTGATATTCATTAAGGTGTCTTCTTGTTCATAATCTAACCACTTAGCATTTCCGTTCTTGATGGAGATGCTATATTCAACATTGTTCAGCTGGTCTACGATTGCGCTATCGTTCTTCTGCTCGATTAAATTTTCCTTCAAATTTATCGTATTATTCTCCTTCGCATTCTTGTTATTCTCTTTTGTGTCCTTATTGCTCTGCTTATTATACTTCTTTGCTTCAGTCTCGGAAAGAGTCAGTTCGTCATACATGAGGAACTTTTGCAGCCGTTTTATAGAGACGATCGTTTCCGCTACTTGTGTTATTCCTGGGTTATCATAAAAACAAAAAACGAATAAAAAAAAATAAAAATGTAGAATAGAATTATTTACTTTATATTTAATTTAGTTAGATGTGATTCTTAAACGAAACTTTAATTTATTATGATTAAGATAATAAAGTGCATAAAGTATAAAATATAATAATTGAAAAGAAGTAAGGTAACCAGCCCTTATATAGTTTACAATCTATTGCTTGTTTATGAGAAATTATACGGTGAATTTAATGAAAAGCACTAATAAATCGTACAGAAGGTCCGTCTGATTTTATTACATCAGTTTGCCTATTCTGTTATTGTTAGTAAATCAAAATACATCAAAGCGTCATAGTCATGATGTGCATACATATCACATGATGTGATACTTAACATTTTGTAAATAAGTAAGTAATTATCTTCTACAACTACCAATAGATGATTTAATTTCCATAGTTTCGAGTAATTGACTAATTATGTAAAATAATTTGCCGATTGTGGCCATTATGTCTTCAATCAGCAAGTTATCGCATGCAAATGCTCAACTCTGCTGCAAATACAGCGAATAGGAATTCATCATTGAGTGTCGGACAGTGAGGAAGAAAGGACAGATGAAAAAAGACTTGAAAAAGTAAAAACGAAAAAATAAAAAAGGAGCATTGCAAGCGTCAATATTGTGATCGGTGTCGTTCACACATGTAACTATCATATCATACATTGCTACACTAATTATCGCATACCTTGCGGAAAGTAGGCAGTCATGATTAAGCTTAAACTGTTATAATAGGCAGTTATCACGTACACCTTCTCGGCCGTTATCTTGTAGCCAAACAGAATATAAGACAATATCGTAATAAACAACGATATTCTTGTCATAAAGACGATGAAAGACTTGACGATACCTCTGACACACGACGCCCATTGGATGACATTAACTTCTTTCCTAAAATTAAATTTTGTAGGGTTTATATATATTGTATTGTGTACAATAATTTTTTCTTTTTCGTTTCAAATAAAAAATATCGTACAATATTAATCGTCCCAGGATATGACTATTTCTAATATTGCAATTTTTTATTTCTAATACTGTAATTTTTGTCAATACAAGCATTAAAAAACAGAAATACTCTCTGCTTCCATTTTTTGGTCTACGTTATCACAAACAGGTTTTGCAAAAATCATCTTTCTTGCTGCAATGTATTGTACAATCGATATAAATATTTTTTACGTAATCAGTTTATGCGGCAATACTTACTTTCTTGCTTTTTCTATGAGCGAGCTGAAAAAATTCTCCCAGGTATACATCTTGATGGCTTGGATTCCACTAATAATCTCGTTCATTAATCGTACTCTCTCATCTGTCCTGATAGCAGTTCTTAATCTCAGCTCTGATGACTTCTTGCCTAGCCACACTAAGGAATTTTAAAAATTTTATACAATTAGAAGCAACTCTTACAACTTGTAATTACTTGTTAGTAATTTACCAAATAATATTTAATTGAGCAGAAAAAAGGTTTAGTAATTAAGGAAACTTAGCAAGAAATAATTTGGGGACATAGCAATAAAAATGTAAAATTTGAAAACAGAATTTCTTTCTCGTATTTTAAAAAATTTTAAAGGCATAGTTGAAAAGCAACAATTTGCAATGTAAAGATTTCAGAATAAAGTTAACTTAAATATTACTTATCATTTATTAAATATCTATTATTTATTATTTATTATTTATTATTTATCAAAACTAATCGTAAGTCACGATTCTACCAGTAGGCAGTTTAATCGTAGCAAAAAGACGATTTTCATTAGCAAAGTTACTTATAATTTAATGTATTTAAACGTTTCTTAACTTTGCAAAAGACAAATGTACACATACATATCAAATTACTTTCAATTTAATCAGCCGATTAAATGGAAATTGACTTGATATATATGTGTATACGTGCCACTTATAAAGTTTAGAAACGTTTGCTGGAAACGATCAGAGCATTGACTGCCTCACCTTGAAAAGGGATGAACATCAGAAGAAATGCGATACCGAAAATAGATGATATTCCGATGTCGATCAAATGGAATGTAATGTATGTGATGATGATGGTCTCCAAAGGTCCGAGCCACAAATAATGGAGAAATATGATACTGACGTCGAATCTATTGACGTCGTTAGATAGCAGATTGACTGCCTGGCCGATTGTCGTTTCGCCCAACGCGGTTCTAGTCAGCTTCAACGTCTTGCGGTAGATCAGCGAACAGCAGGCTACGCGAACCTTCATACCCAAATGAGTCATATCCATCATGTAAGGATGGACTACGAATACGTTAACGGCGGAGCACAAAATAATGCCGATGGCGCATTTGTACGCGTAGTACTTGTCGATGTCTGTGGTGTTAAAATAGAGCAGCATCTGACCCAACAATAACGGTTGCACTATTCTGCATCAAAATAGAAAATTCGTCAGAATATGAGAAATTTGCCAATTAAAACCTAGTTTAAAAGTTTAGATTCTAAATCTTAAAAATCTGCGAATTTTAATTTGGTTTTAATTTCAAAATTATAATAATTATCGTATTCTCACATAAAAATTCGGAACGTGCAATTATATCATTCATTTAATTGTCATAAATATATTCATTTAATTAGATTATCTTTCATTTAGTTAAATCTTTATTCTTAATTCAAAAAAATGCCAAAATTTTATCAATAAAAAAGCTGCTTAATAAAAGATTTAATTCCACAGGATTAAATTCGTGCAATTTGTATTATTTTTTTTATCGCCAATGCAAGAAATGTAAAATATTACAATGAAAAATTTCACAGCTAGAATTTCTATAAGATAAGAAATGAAAGGGAAGTTGTACCTGAGCAAGGTTTCTATAACGGCCATGAAAGTTCCGCACAGTAGGGTCTTGAAACCGAAACATCTGATAAGGACTCTCATCAGGCTGGGCTCCTTGACCTTCTTCTGCGACCCGCTCTTCGCAATCTGCTCCAGCCGATACTGATACGCCTTCCATTCCTTCTCCCAGGCTTTCGCTATTTTAACACCAAGAATATCACTTGTATGCTCTTTAAGCGGTGTGTACAAATCAGTTACTTCAAGATCTCGACGATAACCCACCCAGAAAGTGCGTAGAATCCAACTGCGAAGAAGAAAAGCAAAGCAAACGTTTTACTCGAATAAACTATCCGCAATTTATCGAGGTTTCTGAATTTTGCTTTTCTCGTTGGAATACTAATTTTTTTCTCCTAATTTTCAAGGTACTATCGCTTTACATATTATTAAAATTGATCTGTATCCTACTTTCTACTTTCAAATCAATCGAAACTGCATCATTACACTTAAGAATCAAATATAGCGCAAAATAATCAGGACAATTTTCTTCTCGCAAAACTTGACATCAATTGTTTATATCTCGATTAACTTTCCAATTAAAATATCCTTTGGCATAAAAATGTATGATAGTTTGTTAAAGTGTAAAATCAAATGCATTAAAAATAAATAAAGAATGATTATATTAAGAAATATATCAATATTTTTCAATAATAATTTTCAATGATAATTCTATTTTATACTTTTTGTACTCTTAGAAACTTTTGAATCTAATATCTAGTTATTATATTCTGTGAACTTTTCTCTGGATCGCATTATCTTCACTCTCAGTTTTATTTCTCTTAATCGACTCTATCACGAATAATATTTGTAGTTTGCTATTTATACTTACGAAAACGTCAAAATGCTGAAAATGTTGGCATCCGCTCTGGGATTATTCTTCACTTTCTCGGTATACGATTTCCTATGCATGATGATTGTCTCATACGAGTCTTTTCTATAAATGTATAAATGTATAATCTTAAATGGAAACCCTTACTAACTTTTATTTTTTTATTGATCTTGACCGTGCTTTTCAAGATCATCTAAAGTTCAAACAAATATTACACTATCTAATGGACTTTCTTAAGTCATACAATTTTTGTCTAATTGTAAAATATTTTTATCCGAAGTTGAAATAAATATTACCTCTTAATAGATCTTCTAAGCCCTCCAATTTTTATTTAAAGTATATTTTCAATAAGAGTCAATACTTTTTTAGATAATTAGCCGTTCCAGAACAGGTACTATATTTACTCAAGTTAAATATACTCTGTTTAGACCGTAGTTTAAGCTGGGATTAAGATTACACGCACACACATGCAAGTTCACAAAATCACTTTGATAATAACTGTAAAATGTATTTGCTCAAACTGAATTTTTTACAACTGTGTATACTATTTACAGTGAATATCTTACAATTGCGATTTCGTTTTTAAGAGTAAGCGATTCCATATATTAAGATACAATCGCGAGTGTTGACGTTACGGTCATTCATGGCCTTACACTACAGGTGATAGAACAAACGACTTTACTTTCCGCACGTGTTGCAAGCCGTAGTAAAGATTTTCGGAAAACTTTTCGTGACCGCGAGGATCTCTTTTCTTTAAAACAAGCAATAGTGACTTCGCGTTTCGACAGCGAATTCATGTACTGCGTTGAGTCACTTCTGTGTGTCTCTTTTTATACCGTTGTATTTCTGGATTGTTCTCAATACTCTTACAGCTTTGATTTGCAGGAGTTCAGTCATGAAAGGAATGATCCAGAAACACAACAGCTGCCAACGATGTTATTAAATTTGTTTCGCTCTTTATTAAAGGGCATATTGTAAAGAGAATAATTGTTGTCACGTGCCAATTAACCCTTTTGAACTCATATACTATTGTCATGATTCGACGACAGCACGAGTCTGCACGAGTGCAGACACACTACCGTCATTGGCACGCGTACGTCTGCGTTGCGTAATCGATATAGCGTGAGTTACGAGTACGATTGTAGTCGGGCAATACGCAATGTCAAGTGTCTAACAATATTTATGAGCTCTATATTTTATGCCTCGTTTTTATGTGAGTTTTGAACAACTCATAAAACAAAAAATATATATGTGAAAATGTTCTCATAATAAAGAAAAATTTATTATTTCTTATGTAGATCACATAGGCGAAAATATTACGTAAATATTATCTCTGACGTACAATATTCACGATACTTTTTCGATCCTCACAGAACTGGCGAGAGCATAATTTAAAATACTTTTATTTAAAATACATGGTATTTGCAATATAAGCGTATTTTGTGTTTTGCATTTCAGCGAAGCACATAAAAGTATTACGTATTTTGTATTTAAAATCGAAAAATAGAAAATTTTTTGTATTTTATAATTTAAATAATAAGATAGATTGTCAATCTTAGTATTTAATTATTTTACAATATTAAATACAAATACAAAATATTTTCATGTGCTCCGCTGAAGTACAAAATACAAAATATTTTTGTATACTCCGCTGAAATGTAAAACAATTGTCTTACACTAAACAAAAATAGGCTAAATTTTAATATTTATTTGAATTATTGCCAACTAAATATTGACTTACAATAAATTAATATTTATTTAATAAAAAGAAAAAATTGTTAAATCAAATTAGAAGTTTTTTGTATGTATAAATATATTTTTATATTTAATAAATATTTAGTTGGTACCATTTAAATAAATATTTATTGAAATTTAGGATATTTTTTTCTCATTTTTCAAAAGTATTTTAAATATGCTTTGCATCACAAATAGAGCAAATATTAACGGTTTTTTTTCTGATCCGTCATATAATAACTAATTCTAAAAATTATAGAAACACCAATATTAAAAAAAAAACCGGTTACGTTACATGCAGAGGCGAGTGAAGAATTAAACTTTTGTAACTGCGCAAAGTTTAGTCTTTATTAAAAAAATAAGTTATTGTAATGCAAGTTATTATAATAACAAATGGAATTATTTCATTTTAAAATGCGCATAGTTATAAACCAGTACCATTCACGTAAGTATATATTATACTTGTAATATAAGTAGTAGATACGTAATAATATCAATGCATGTAATTGATATTATAATCAGTACATTCTTGAAAAAATAAATGAGCAAATGATACAAAAGAAGTAAGCAATAAATTTTTTTAATAATTAAAAATTAAAAAATATAGGAAAATTAAAAATTAGAATTTTATTGTAATGAGATAATAACTCGCATGTACTCGTATATGTCACTTGATTACAACTATTCAAATTTTATTCATGTCTAATTTTATTGATATTATCGTATACAAATTAATAACATAGTAGCTATATAATTCCGATAAATTATAAATTTACCTTATTTTTACGTTCGTTTATTAACAGTATCATTAATTCACAACAAATGTTATACGCACCACACACAGTATTATGTGAACGTTACCCACACAATCTTTTGTCTAAGGTCTGTAAGTCTGTGAAGTGCACGATCACTAACATTATCGACGCGCAACTCACGGACAGATAATCGTTTAACCGTTTAATCTATAATTAGCTAGTTTTAAAGTTATGTATCTCAAAAATTGCTCAAAACGACAAGTAGTATTTCTTTTAGAACATTTCCAGAAGTATGGTGCTTCAATTCACTATATTATTTTAATTTTCGAATATACATAATGGAATAAAATTTAAAAGAAAGTCATCGATATCATCATATTTATCATTTCGTTTTTAAATTATATTTCTAAAAGGTAAAAATAAAATTTATTAAATATAAATACAAAATGTTTAATATAATTAGAAAGTATCTTCTACCGGATGATATAACAGTTTGCGTAACATTGTTTAAAATTTTGCAATAATTAACTTTTTTGTAAGATAAGCAAAAATGAGCATCTTAAAAAATGGGTCACAAACTGATTTAGGAGGCAATAATATACCTGTTCTTCTTTTGCAGGAATTGTCTGTATAAAATACATACAAGTATGTAGGTCTGTTTTCTGTGGCTGAACTAGTGTACACTTTTGGAACTTAAAGTGAAATAGACGTTTGATATTTGTTTAAAGCGAGAAAGAAAGTTCTAGAATAGTCTAGTGTACAGAAAACAAACTCAGACTTTCTAGAATTCTTTCATTTTATTGCAAAATGTTTTTTTATTGATTTATATACGCACGCATAATGCTGTTCCGCAAGTGCAAACATGCGACAATTTATTGGAGAGTTTTATAGTATTTTAATATTTCTCTGAAATTTTGGATACAAAAATAAAAAAGTTTAAATTTTATCTTAAGTCAACTTTAATGGTATCAATTCCTGACATATCAATTTTTAATTCATGCATGTTTTTCCATATGTTTTTGATTTTCCACTCATATCTTTTGGCTACGAACACGAAGAAGAATTTTCTAATGAAATAATAGCTTGTATGTGTATCGCTTAAGTGTATCTGCAACTGTGTAAATTTCTATTAACATTGCCGCATACAAATTAGTAAATTTAACATATTATAACAGCGACATAATTCCGATAAATTATAATTTTACCTTATTACATTCGTTTATTAGTAACATCAATTAACTCATTTGCCACAAATATTACACGCAAACACACATATTATGTGAGAAATGACAATGGAATCGATATTAAAAATCGACGTCAATTTGTTGATTTCGATTGTTATTTCTCACTGGGTATTGTTATACGGACATTGCATACACGTCTCTTTGTTTATAATACCTATTATTAAGTCCGTGAAGTGATCATTTACACTACCATCGTACGACTCAACTATAATCTATAATTGACTAGTTTTTGTAAACTGTATACTCACCGACTAAAAGGTTGCAACACTTTAATGAGTTTCAGAATGCAGTCTGCTCACCGAGCGATTAGTTCTTATTTATGGTACCGTAAGTAAAAATCAATCGCTCGGTAAGTAGGCTGCATTCTAAAAACCATTAAAAAAAATCTGTTGCAACCTTTTAATCGATGAGTGTACATCACAAAAATTACTGCTCGACAAATAGAAAATACTTTCATTTATTTTTTTAAAAGTTTCTTGCTATAAAATATTTTGATTTGCGAATTTCAGGATACCTACTCGTTATATATATATATATATATATATAAATATACGGTAAAGTAATTTATACATATTATTTAAGTATTTATAATATATTATTATTACATATACTGCCAATATGCCGATGCTGTCAAATTATATCGCGCAGACCTGTTTAGTTTTTTTTAATTTGCTCGAAATTAAATGAGCTAAAAGCTCATTTTGCGTAAATTTTTATTAGAATCCAAAGTAAAAATTGCCAATCCAATGAAATGAGCAGAAAAAATCAAAATTACACGATAACGAATATTGGATCGGCAATTTTTAATTTGGACTATAATCAAAATTTACAGAAAATGCTTATAGCTTATTTAATTTCGAAAATTAAAAAAAAATTTAAAATTGGTTAAGAATTAGAACGTCGACCGAATTTTTCCGTTTATTATGTGAGGCCTTGAAATTTATATAATATTGTTTTTAAAAATAGGAATTTTTTTTAAACAGTCTTTTGACAGCTTTTAAACGGAAATTTTTTTAAATGGTCTCTTGACAGCTATTAATATTTCTGTAAACTTTATGAAAATAAAGTTTTAATTAATTACTAAAGTAAATTTTTTAATTAATTAATTTCAAAAATAAGGTAATCCGAATATAATTATTCTTTGTATACTGGATGAGTTTACTAATTATTTGTAACTCTACAATTATTGTAAACAATAACGCTCAGCATTATATTTTTATTATAAATGATATATTAGTTTTAAGGAGTCCATTGAATATGATCTAAAATTAGAATCATAAGCAGAATGAAGATTAGAAACAGTGAATTATTATTTTGTTTTTTATTGCATATATATTTTAACAAATATAGCAACATATATATCCAACAAACTTTCTTTCATAATAAAAGAACAATTTTAAGATATATGTGTAACTGTGTATGTGTTACAGAAAATAAACTTACGGATTTATGGACATTTTAAATGAATTATATGTATACATTTTGAATAATTTTAATTTAAGGATAAATTATTTAAGGATAATTTATCGACAATGATTCCATGTTGCTGATAAAATATTACATTTTATACACATACAAATCCACAGATGTGCACAAAGCAAGAAAAATATACGATTATCGTTATGAACTATATAAATGGAATATATAATTATGCACTCGCTGTTGATGTGATTCATTCTTTCCTTTACACTCTTTACTCTTTATACGTATTTAACAGAATATTTACAATAAGTATAAAAATCTATCTTCTATACTACCTACATACTAAATACAATTATTTCGACCCGTCAATTCTATCTATAATATAATGATTATTCATATCCTTAAGAATAATCTTTTCAAAATCGAATTAAATTAACTAAATCGCAACTTTTTAATTTGAGAAATTGTTATTTAGTTTTAATTTTTTCTAAATTCAAATGTAGAATTTCAAAATTCTAAATGTACAGCGATATCAAAATTTCCTTAAATTTACTATAAATAGGAGAAAATTCGATTTTTTTTTAGATCACTTAGAATTTAAGTTCTCAGAAATTAAACTTTGAAAAAGAACATAAGAATTCAACAATTTAAGTTTTTTTTGTTGCTAAACTAGTACATTAGGGAATAATTAATTCCGATCGAAATTCATTCTGAATAATTCTACAATACATCCTACAGTTTTGAGCTTTTAACACTTCTGTCATTTCTCAATAAAGTTCTCATTCTCGTTGTACTGTTGTGCATATTTATCTCAGTGCAATTAATGTGTCCTCCATGTGAAACATGCGAGCGTAACAATATATACACATATATTATAAGTATCTGTATATAAAAAA